CATGGAGTTTCAAGGAGGTTATGCAGCTGTGGCCTCTAAAATAAGAGTTCTAATCTGAAATATCATAGCCTTCTTTGTATGTTTAATTTAAAATCATCTTTTGAATTACAAGTTCTACACGTTTATGCTCTGCTGTTCCAATTAATTCTTCGTTTCATCCAAAGCTACTTTGTTTAAGCTCAAGGTCCTCCAACTTGCTAAAATTTTTTTATCAGTTGGGATACTTTTATTTTTATTTGCTTATACTTTTATTTGCAAATCACAGAAAACCCAACTTAAACTAAATAATAGAAGTATTTATTAGTTACATTATTTAAGCCCAAAATAAAAGTGGGCATTGGACACAGTTTGATTGGATTCTATCTGTTGCTCTGTAATTTTCTGTGCTATTCAGTGGGTGAGCTTTGTCCTCACAACAGCAACTCTAAAGTCACAAAAGAGTTGCAGCTTTTGCAGGCTTCAGGTCAGCACCATCACATTCCAGAAGGGAGAATATCTATAATACAAAATTTCTAGCAAAATCACGTCCCTGATTGGGCAAGCCCTACACTAATCCCTTAAAAAACTTACACTGCCTTCGAGTTGGTCCCGACTCATAGCAACCCCTCCTTGGGTTTCCAAGGCAGTATCACTACGGAAGTAGATTGCCCACTCTTCCTCCCGAGGAGTGACTGGTGGGTTTGAACTACCAGGCTTCTGGTTAGCAGTCAAAAGCCTTAGGCATTATTCCACCAGAGCTCCTAATGGAGTATTAAGCAACATTAAATAATAACAGTGACACTGCAAAATATCTCATAACATGGATGAATCTAGAGGACATGCTGAGTGAAATTAATCAATCAAAAAAAGGCAAATATTGTATGAGACCACCATCATTAAAGGTCAAGAGAATGTTTTCACCCAAAAAGAAATATTCTTTGATGGTAACCAAGAGTGGAAAAGGGAGGGAGGTTAAACCACTAATGAGAGGGTAGACAGACACTGAGTTGGGTGAAGAGGAAGGCAATATACAATAAGCAAGGGATCGGCACCAAATCATCAAGGCAAAGGAGTTTTGAGCTTTTTGAGTTTCGTTCCACATTTTTCTCCCTCTCTATCCAGGACTCCCTACTGTCATCCCTTTGAGAGTGGTTAGC